TCTGTGTCAAATATTATATGGAAATGTTTCCAAGTATTTTCTGTATTAACTGTGAATGAATAGAACAAAATAAATTGCCTGTGATTGGGAAAAAAAAAACAGAGACAAAAACAAAAAAACAAAACAAAACAAAAAGACTCAGAGACTGTGAAATCATGCACAGGTCCTACATGAATCTGCACCATATTGGGTCTTAGAACTGAAAGGAGAAGTTGACACATGCCACATCCCTAGCCCAGAAGTTATCTCTGATTGATAACCACTTGCAAATAAAAATTAATTTTCTCCAAGGGAGTGTCACTGGAGAAACAAAACGTATTTTTTGTTGTTGGTGGTGTATTATTTAATTAAATTTTTTTATTCATTTTACATAATAATGAAAGATCCCCCTATTCCTCCATCCCATCCCTCCAGCCTCCTTCTTCCAACTCTCCCTCATTCCCTCCTACAAGAAAGTAAAGCCTCCCATGGGGAGGTACATTTAGTAGAGGCAGGTCCAAGCCCTTCCCCCTGCCTCAAGGCTGTGTGAGGTGTCCCATCATAGATAATGGACTCCACAAAGCCTGCTCATGCACTAGGGATGGGTTCTACCAGGGAGCCCCTAAAGCAGATCAAGCTACACAACTGTCTCACTATGCAGATGTCCTAGTCCAGTCCCATGGAGGCTCCACAGCTGTGGTGGCACATGCCTTGAATCCCAGCACTCAGGGAGACAGAGGCAGGTGGATCTCTGAGTTCTATGCCAAACTGAGTGAGTTCTATGACAGCCAGAGATACACAAAGAATCCCTGTCTCTAAAAACAAACAAACAAACAAACAACAACAACAACAAATGGAAACAAACCATTCTTAAAGATAGGGCCCATCCCCAGCAGTAGTTGGCTAACATGAAACAAACCCAATGGTATCTTTGCAGGCTTTTTGTCTCAAAATGTTGTATCTGGGAATTATTTTAACCTTATAGGTCCATTGCATATATATTATGGCCTCTGATTTTGTGTTTTTAAGGTATTTCTCTGTGTGTGATCACCTCTGCATCTATATGTATTTCTTGTGCTTTTTCTTTGGCTCTTTTTCTTCTGTTTATTTTTTCATATTCCAATTTGTCTTTGTTTTTGTCTTATCATTTTATTATTATTCCTTAGATGATTCCTTGTTTTCTAAGAAGATACAAAGAAAGTATGTATGTATCTGGATGAGATGGGAGGTGGGGAGAAGAAACCATAATCAGAATATATTATATGAAAAAAATCTATTTTCAATAAACAAAAAATAGAATTAAAAATGTTTATCTTGAAAACATGATAGGTTTGCATGTTATAGTAAAAAACAATACAAAGGGCTCTAATTTACAGTTACCAACTTTTTCCTGGGTAACTTTATCACCTTGGGTAACTATGGGAGGATGTGTGGTCTGCAGAGTGTGAAATACAGGCATCAGGGATCTGTTGTGTGTTGTTGGTCTCCAGAATGCTCAGCTTTATGGATCACTGGAAGGACTCTTAGGAACCATAGATGTGGCATACTTACTACTATATTTTTTTAATATTATAATGAAAGAATCCAGATTAAAATATATAAAGGGAAAAGGTGTGGATGAGGTTTATAAATAACACAAATAGGTTTCCACATATGTCTACTCAAATAGTTCACTCAAAAATTGGCTTAGTTGTTGTTTGTTTTTGCTCTTTACCCTTTTGGGGGACCTGCCACCCAGCTCCCAAATAAATCACACACACAGGCTTATTCTTAATTACATATGCTCAGACTTAGCTTGGCTTGTTTTCTGCCAGCTTTTAACTTTAAATCATCCTATCTACCTTTTGCCACTGAGATTTTTTTTCCTTTTCATACTTCTGTATATCTTACTTTCACTCTTACTTAATGTAAGCTGGGTGGCTGGCCTCTGATATCCTCCTCCTTAATCCCTCTTACTCTTCTTCTTTTCCTCTCATATTTCTCCTTTTTATTCTCTCTGCCTGCCATCCCCACCTATACTTTCTCCTGCTTTACTATTAGCTGTTCATCTCTTTGTTAGCCCACCAGGTGTTTTAGACAGGCAAATTAACACAGCTTCACAGAGTTAAACAAATGCAACACACTTTTCATCATTAAACTCACATTCTACAGAGTAAGCAAATGTAACACATCTTAAAATAATATTCTACAACAGTTAATTTTCTTAAAAATTATCTTACCAAACAAGATGAAGACCTGTAAAACAGGAGATTTGAGGTTCAAGGCTTTAGAGATCGGTGATATAGGTATATAGTACCTATGCAACTGATTTTAGCTAGTGAGACTCCTCCATTCTGATGTTAAATTGACAAAGAATGGGGCCAGGCCTTAGGCTTATATAAACTCTGTTAGCAGGTGGGATAATTCAAAGACAGTTCCAAAAAATTAAGCAAAAGACTATTGAGGAAAGTTTAGGTTTTAAAAAATTCAGGCATGTGATCAGTTGTTTCACTATTTCTAATTCTATTCAGAGCAAATTTAATGTGTGTGTGTGTGTGTGTGTGTGTGTGTGTGTGTGTAAGTGTGCACACGCGTGTGTATGTATAATGGATTCTAAAAATAATACGAAGTAGTTTCATTGCTAGAGATAGTTGTCTTTAAGATACCCAGACATATTAAGGCCAGAAAAGTACACAGGGTGACATTATGACTCTGCACCTAAATTTTTTAGGGCAGTGTCTCTCACCAAACCCAAATACCATTGTTTTGACTAGTTTGGTCTGCCAATGCTCTCCTGAGATTTTAGGCACATGTGTCTATGCTTTGCTTTTACATAGATGTACTGTTTGAACCCGGTTCCCCTTGCTTTCATTTCAAGTAGTCTTACTCACTGAGATTTTACACCAAACCAAGAATGATTTTTAAAATAACAAGACAATCTCTTATTAAAAGACTTGAGATCTTCAGGGAGAGCAATTTTGAATCCTTGTGATATCATCTACTCTAGCATGGCACAGTTGGGTAGGGGCTTATTGTCTGCACTCTACACTTTTAAGTGGTCTTTGAAAGTGTTGAGGCTAGAAATGAAAGATTGTGAATAAGCCTCATGGTTTCAGCCTGAACCTCATTCTCCATTGCCCTCTGTATGATTTTACTAACAAGTTTCAAATTATTCTTTTCTCCTTTTAGACACATATTCAGTATCTTGGCGACCATGTGTTATTTATTTCAGGATTCCTAATATTGTGCATGCCATCTGTCATATAGTGGTGGCCAATAAGTGTTGTTATGAGAAAGAAGAAGAGAAAACACACAGGATGAACATATGAATGGACAGAAAGAAAAGAGAAGGGAAGGGCCAATGGGAGAAATGCAATTGCAACAGGTGAGGCAGAGGAAGAAAATACAAAAGGAAATAGTAAAAAGAGAAGACTGTAAGAGGAGAGAAAGAAAAATGAGTAGCAAGAGAGGAAGGGGCAACAAAAAGAACAAGAGGGAACAGGGACAGGGAGAACAAAAACAGGAAGGAATGGTGGAAAGAAAACAGATTTTCTAATTGCCAATAAAAATCTCAAAGTAAACACTGACCATTTTCCTATTCAGATTGTTATACAAAATTGATACATGCTTTATATTCTAACAGTGTTTATAAACTATTTACAAATAGCATCCATTTTAATGACATCATAAATAAGAATAAACATGCGTGCAGAGTAGCATGCTCATTGGCAATGCAAAATCAATTCTATATTGAAATTGTTAAGTAGGACTATATATTTGCAATTAAATAGCTTTCCTTGACTGTCAATCAATGATGATCATGCTTCAAGTGGTCATATGGATGGTACCATTAAAAGCCAGGGTTCATATATGTACTGTGTATGAGTTAATGTTTGTTCTCATTGCCATTTCCTCCTCACAGTTTTCTATGCTGACTTCGAAGGGAACATCCTGCTCACAGAGAGAGGCAGGTGAGTGCATGAGAACTGTCTTTCATTCAGGCTCAGTTTTACAGCTAAGAAAATTGAGATGGAGAGATTTGCTTTAGGTCATAAAATGAGTTCAGTTCAGTTCAGTTCACTTTGCAGCCTTGTAACTAGTATGTGAATCCCATTCTCTTCTGACTGCTAAAACATACTCCTTCTCCAAAATCTGTTAAATTTCTAAATTTGATAACTAATTTGAATGTTTCTTTTTAACAAACACTGCATATCTCAGCCATGCTTCATATCCAGGCACATTGCAGCAAAGCTTTGCAGCACTTTGGATCTTGAAAGGCTTTCCGATACTTTAACCCAATGTGGCTACTTAATCTTTTCTGAGATAAATTCCCATTTTTCTGTCTCTGATTTTTTCTACCTGAATATTCTATATCATCTTGAACAAAATGTAATCATGCAACTGTATCAGACTAATATTTCCTTTCCAGCCTTCTGTGTTAAATTATTTTGTTCGATGCTATTAATATATATTATACAGGGAGCTAAATGAAGTAACAAAACATTTGATTGCTGCCTTCTATTGAATTAGTCATTAACATTATTAGCCTGAGATAGACCGGCACTGGAAATGATTCTCATTTCATATATGCATTCTTCATGTTATAGAAGATTAAATTTTTATCATCTTTAATTTATATTGTTATTTCACAGCTTTATGTCACACAGCAGCAAATGACATGGTGTCATTTTCTCTGGCCGTTGGTTTCTCACTATCATTTCTCATTTTATCAGCTATAATCTAAAGAATGAATTCAAGTCAGAAACTCTTATTCCAAATCTTTTCACTTTTGTTTTATGATATTTTAAGTATCTGCATTCTCACAGATACAAGTTTTGGCTTTAAGATACTATTTAAGTCATTCATGAAAGAATCCATTTAAGGGCCCATGGGATGGCTCAGCAGGTAAAGGCACTTACCTCCAAGATGGAGAAATTCAATTCAATTCAGAGGATCCACATAGTAGGAGGAAAGAATCATTTCCAGCAAGCCATATTATGAGTTCCACAGACACAGTGTGACATTCAGGTACTCCTCACCCCAGCCCATGGTAAATAAGTGAATATTTATTTTTTTAAAAAAAAGGAAGAATAGATACCAAAAATAATATTTTAAAAGAAAAGACTTTGGGCGTCATACTATTCATGTGGCATTTTCTGTAGTTTACATTGATAATAATCATTCAAAATAGTTCTAGAAGTTAGTATTTTTTTTTTTGCAGACGTACACTGATATCAAAATTAAGCAATGCAACATTGGCATTCTCTTGAAAACTCAAGTTATCTCATTGGCTATAGCACTGAAAGATTAGCAAAGAGTAGAGAAAGAAAGTTCTTTTCCTGTGTGTGATGGTAAGTGTACCCTGGTTGAAAACAACAGAGACCTCCATATTATTATTCTTGACTCAGAACCTATCAGTCCTGACTCAGAAACCTGCTAGTCTTCTGCTATAAAAGTCTCTATCATCAGTCGTAACTCAACTCATGGCTTTGCCATTGTGAGACCCAGAATTGTTCTATCTCCAGCTTTACACTTTCCTCATGCTTGTTTCTTCCTGGAGACAAAATTGTTCTAGTCTATGTAGGCTTCTAATAGTATGTCTGGGACAGTGAATTACAACAAAAAGAAAATGCAACCCATCCAAAAAGTAAATAAAAAGAAATATGATATACTTGTTGAATCTGTCTTCATTTTTTTTTTTATAAAACTAGGTTAACCTTCATGCCTCAACATTTCCCAACAACATTCCCTCTTGATGTTAGATCTGAACTCTGCATTGTAGTCAACCTCTACTGTGAAGTGACTCCAGGAGTATTTTTGCACATTTTATTTCATACTGGAAATTCAATGCCAGAGTTTTCTTATTCTCTGTCAAAGGTTCCAAGAACATATTTGCATGCATAACTTATGATGCATCTTCATTCTCTACACTTTCTCAAGTAATTCCCAAAAGAAAATTTCCTGACAGAAACATTTGTATACAGTTCTCAGGGACTTGCTAATATGAGCTAGCAGCAAAATGTGAGACACAGTGAGCCATTTCTTGGAGGACATTTCATTTTCCTGATCTCCTTCAAATCATATTACACGCTAATCTCCCTCTGCTGTGCACCAACAGGACTTTTTGTTTCATTCTTTCTACATATACCAGGAAGCTATAATGATCCCTACAAAACTCATTGTAAACATTGAATTGTCTGATTTTGCATAAAGCTGCCCAGTTGAAATGACTGATAGCTTTACTGCTCTCTGAACCATTCCATGACCTGAATATGAATGTGCATCTTCTATGATTGTCTAATCAGAAATGTAATGATAATACATATGCAACACATCTACAAGTTTAAATCTTTCAACCATTCAGAAGTGTGTATACACTTTCATTGTTAAACTATGTGGCTTTGAGCAATGATGTTTGCAGTGAATATGGATACACTTAAAACTATAAGACATTGACCTCTTCCTACAGCAAGTCTTCAGAAGAGTACAAATAGGTGATATATCACTGTATCTTTAGTTAATTCAAGTTAGAAATTTTACAAGCCTACATTATTTTAACAAATAGACTTCTTCCTTTTATATCTTTGCTTTTCCAATTTGTTTAAAGGGATCATGCCTCTTAACTACAGTACCTGAGAGAGAGCCATTCATAAATGTGCAGAAATTATTCAAGGGTAACATTTCTGCATTAAGACATTCAGCAGTCATTTCTTTTCAAAATATGAGGAAATGTCTAAGTCACTGATTCATTATATTTTCTCAAGTGTTTGAAGAAAGTGTCCATTAAAATTGAGCAATAATTGAAATACATGCTATGTGTCAGCTAATGTCTTAAATCTTTATACTTTATGAACACACATCTAAGTGAAAAGACAAATAGAGTTGCTGCAGTTACCACGACTGATCATTAAAATTCCATCTGCACTTCTGGGTGTCCAAAGGGAAAAGATGAATGTGGCATGTTGTGATGGTTAAGGATGTCAGCTTGACAGGATCCAGACTCATCGAGGAGACAAGCCTCTGGGCGAGCCTGTGGATTACCTGAAATGTGAAGTCCCACCCTAAATATGGGCAGCTCCATTTCCATGTGTGATGATTAGCGTTGATCGTCAACTAGCAAGTTCCAGAATCACCCAGGAGGTGGACCTCTGGGCTTCCCTTTGGGGAACTGTTTCGGTTACATTAATTAAGTGTGAATATCTATGCAACTGGGATTGCAGACAGTAGAAATGGTGAAAGGAACTGAGCAGCAGCATGGCTTCATCTTTCTCTGCTTCCTGGTTGTGGATACAGAGATATCGGCGGTTTCGAGCTTCTGTAACCTCATGTGCTCTATGATGGTGGACAGAGCCTTCAGGTGGTGAGAGAGAATAACCTTTTTCTCCTTTCTGTTGCCTTTTCGGAGTATTTTACTGCAGAAACAGGAAAAGAAACTAGGGCAATCCTTGGCTGTACATAAAGGAAAAGTGAGATGGGCACAAGCGTTCATCACCTTTTCCTCCCTCTCTAGGTACACAATATGACCTGCCACCTCCTGCTTCTGTCACGGTACCGGCTCCACCATGCTAAACTGTACCCTCAACTGTGAACCAAAATAAACATGTCTTTAAGGTTTTTATTACAGTTTTTTAAATTACAGCATCAAGACAAGTAATTGAGATATACATTATATACATTTTATTGTGCCTAATTTAATAATTCAAGTGAAACCAATATTAATCAGATACTAAATTCTACAATTAATACATGACATATTTATTTGTCTTGGGAACACATACAGACACTTTGAATATATAAAATCCAAAGCAGAAAATACTGGTCTGATACAGAAAAGAAAGTCCATGAAAGATTTATATATAGTTTTTTTCATTCAAATGGAGCAAAGTTTTTTTTAAGTTTTTATAACTGGTCAGACATACTTTTTTCACATTTCATCAAATTCTTCAGTTGTTTATAATCATTAAAATGGTAACTTATGATTTGCTTTTAAAAAGAAACACTAAAATTTCATTATTGTGGTTGCAATGATATAAATATTGTTAGGCAACAGGAAAAGTAGCCTTGGAAAATTTCCTCATAGTCCCTCAGGAATTAATTGAATTCACCATTTATTTGCCCATACAAAACACTGGCTAGCCAAAGGCCTTCATCTTTCTTTTTTCCCTCTTCCTCTGATGCTACTGTTTCTCTTCTTAGCCATTGAAACAAAAACAAAATAAGCAAATCCTCATAGCACAGCGGTCTTCAGTGGGATCATTTCTTCTTTAGGGACAGTTGGTGTCTTCTTGTCCAGGTACCTCAGAAAGTATATTTTCTTTGAATTACAGAACTCACCACCATACCCCCCCCCAACTAATCCACAATCAGATTAAAAATTTTTATAGGACATTTTATATGCTTTCCACCATTAGAGTAGCAAACATACCAATTTGTACATAATGTACAATAAGAACAGCAAGGCTGCCTGTCTGCAGGTAATTGACAGTGAGTGTTTGTTTCCAAGATACTGTCTATTAAGAGACATTCCACATCTTTAAGAGCCTACTCCTTCTAAATACTGGGCATTTTGAATAATAATAATCAATAGACTTTGACTCTCTTGATCAAGAGGTTTTGGAGAAATGTCCAGTAAAGAAGTTGATCAGCCTTGATAAATGGAGCTAAGAGATACCTTAATGAGTATTAAAAGTAAGTGATTCGGAAATGGGAACTATATTAATGCACTTCTGCAAGTTCACATTTGAAAAACCACTCCTGTGGTTAAGGCCATGATGTTTCATGGAAAGACCTAACTTAACTATTCTGAGCTTTAAAACTGAGCAATGTAATAATTAATTTTTCAGGTCAAAGATCTTCCTCAAAGAACCAAGGTATGGTGATAATCCAAGCTGGAAATTGACAGGTAGTGGCAATATTCCACATATTCAGCATTCAGTCTTTACACAAGTAAATTCAAATTCACCCAGTCTGT